ACGAGTGAAAAAAATTGCAAAAATTCTCCATTATTTGTTACTGTTAATTTGTAATCTCTTTTGAATGAATTAGATGATTTTTGGATTGGATGAACTAATTGGTTAATTCAATGAAACATGAAATTAATAGGTGAGCTTTTTTTTTGCCCTTTCACCTAGTCCAAATGAATTTTCAGTTTCAGTTGACCCAGAAGCTAGAAATTACTTAAAAGAAGGAGAAAAAAAAATGTTTTTTTTAGGCTGCAAAAGTTATGGGTGAGTTGGAATAAGCATCAATATATGAGGTGGACTAGAATTCACAATATGATAGAACATCTACGGAAGAACCAGAGAGGGGGCGGGCAGGAGAAGAGAGAGATGAGTTTGGGAGGGAGATGTCAATTTTTTAACAGGGAAAAGTTAAAGTTAGGGCTTAGGACCAAAATGATACCCATTTTACATACATTAAGCACTATTTCTATCAAAGTGATATATATTAAGGATCAACATAATCCAACCCCTATACATGAAGGATCATTTTGATCATTTTCTCTTGGTATTCTACTTGTATACGGCCAAGTTGGCCTTGTTATTATCAATGGAATCTTTTATTTGATTGAAAAGCAAAATGAAAGGTAGAAATATACTAGCTAATCACTATTTATCGCTTACCTTACTTTTTTCTTTGTATCTCGGGTTCATTGACTTTCTACTGAAAACCTTGAGATATAACTTGTTATCAGCTTATAATGTTTCTAACTGAAATACAACCTTTGATTGCCCAAATAAACTTGACCTTTTTAACTACTGAGCAGGATGCTTTGCCAACATTTCCAGATGCACAAGCATTTTCATGCATTGAGAGAGAGTTGGGCCGTCCGCTTGAAACTGTCTACTCATCTATATCTCCATCACCTATTGCTGCAGCCAGTCTTGGTCAAGTTTATAAAGCTCAACTTAAGTACTCGGGCCAGGTCGTTGCTGTGAAGGTGCAACGGCCAGGTATTGAAGAAGCAATAGGATTAGACTTCTACCTAATAAGGGGAGTAGGCATCCTGATTAATAAATATGTTGACATAATTTCAAGTGACATTGTTGCTCTTATTGATGAATTTGCTCGCAGAGTTTATCAAGAGCTCAACTATGTACAGGTTAGTTTTTGAAACACTCTTAGATAATTCTTTAAATGGATGCATATTGGATGATTTAACTTTATATATCTGGAGTCAAGGTAGTGTTGAAGAGAAGAGCTGCTGAGTTGATAAACTTCTACAACATTCCTCTGGGTTTGAATGTTAATTTTGACAGGTTAATGCAGGAAGGGCAGAATGCAAGGAGATTTAAAAAGTTGTACGCTGACAAAGAAGATGTTCTTGTTCCCGATATTTTTTGGGACTACACAAGTGGGAAGGTATTAACAATGGAGTGGGTTGAAGGTGTCAAGTTGAACGAGCAAGAAGCTATTGAGAGGCAAGGGCTAAAGGTTTTGGATCTGGTAAATACGGGCATCCAATGCAGTCTCAGACAGCTGCTCGAGTATGGTTATTTTCATGCTGATCCTCATCCTGGGAACCTTTTGGCAACACCTGAGGGGAAGCTTGCTTTTCTTGATTTTGGGATGATGAGTGAAACTCCTGAAGAAGCAAGATTTGCTATTATTGGTCATGTTGTTCACATGGTCAATCGGGATTATGAAGCGATGGCTCGTGACTACTATGCTTTAGACTTTTTATCTCCCAATGTGGATGTTTCTCCAATTGTACCAGCACTGCGAGACTTCTTCGATGATGCACTTAATTCAACAGTAAGCGAGCTTAACTTCAAAACACTTGTAGATGGTCTGGGTGCTGTGTTATATCAATATCCCTTTAATGGTGAGTTGCTAGTCTTGCAATCAAATGTATGCTGATCAATATTTGAAATGCTTAATGGATAAACTTTAACAAGATATTGTTGCAAATAATAAGTAAGTCAATTGTTTGTATCATGCCTGACATTGCTGCTTTGGCTGTTTGAAATTCATGCAGTTCCGGCTTATTACGCATTGATTTTGAGATCTCTCACTGTTTTAGAAGGTTTAGCATTATATGCTGATCCTAAGTTTAAAGTGCTGGCTGCTTCATATCCATATTTTGCTAAAAGGCTTCTTACAGATCCTAATCCATATCTGAGAGATGCTCTCATTGAGTTACTTTTCAAGGATGGGAAATTCAGGCAGGCTTCACTTTTCCCTTTTTTGCTCCTTAACTAAACTTAGTTCATTCTTCTGATGCGCAGCTAACAACGTGAAGCTCTTACTCTTGGTTATTACAGGTGGAGTAGACTTGAAAACTTGCTTGTCCAGGGAAAGAAAGACAGGGACTTTTCTGCAAAAGATGCGTTGCAACCTGTCCTGAAGTTGTTGTTGGGTCCAGATGGTAAAGAATTAAGGGATTTGGTTATCAAAGAGGCAATCCGTGTCAGTGAAGCTATTATTCTGGGTTCAGCTATTGAATCATTTAATTCTGTTCCTGGTCCCATGAGGACTTTTGTTTTCAATGGAAATGCAAGTGGTCCCTTTACAATAAGTGCTGCTGAGCAACAGAGCTTAATGGAACTTAGGGCACAGGTGATCAAGATATGGGGACTATTGCAATCCTCAGAGAATTTTGATCCGAATCTTTTCCAACCAATTTTGCAGGTTAGAAGCACTCTCTTTCCATGTAATGTAATTTTGATAGTTGGATTCAAGTGGTTCATGTAAGGATGGAATGGGGCGGTTCAAGGCGGGGTGGGTTGAGCTTAACCTGCAAATTCTTTAATCCGCCCCCCGCATAACAACTTTTTTCATTTTCAACCCACCCGCCCCGCATAGACCCGCCCTGCATGAACCCGCCCCGCATAATTCTTTTAATATTTTCTTTTTCTAGTTAAGTTTGATACTAAAAATAAAATTCATACAAATAAATTCGTTTTTTTCATTATGGTGTATTAATTTATTGGATAATGACTTAAAAATTTATTTTTTGGAGGTTAATTAAGAAACATGTAAGAAATTGTAATATTTTTTATTGAACCGTTTTCATATTCTATCTTGAATATTTTAGTAGCTTTAAAGAAATTAACTTAATATATAATGTTTTATCACGAATCACATATACCCGCAACCCGACCCTCATTAGTTTTTAAAAAATCCACTTCAACCCGCCCCACACAACCTTAAAACCACCCCGCCCCGCCCCATTGCCATCCCTACGTTCATGTGTTCTTAGCTGAATGATGCAAAGATGGTTTCACACATATAAATGATATATATACCCATAATTATACATGGATAATATGTGTGTGAATCTTTTGTTTTGAAATGCACTTGCCCATTGTTCTTCATTTAGTGTGGGAGGGTGGGAAAAGGCTTTGTTGGTAAAGCATGATGCTTACTAGTGTTATATACCATAGTAATTGCATTGATGTGTTATTCAGCATTTGATGTTTTCGCCATATTCAAGCTTCTAAGTTGGTGTTCGGTTCAGAACACTGAAAACTGTTTTTTTTTTTCAAGTTGCAAAATTTCACCAAAAATGTGTTCCAACCGAACTCCATTGAAGAAGGGTTTTGTATTTCTGAAGATAAGAGTTTGTCCTTGCTGCTAATTGTTAAACCATACTTGAGCAGGTACTTCAAGAACCAGAAGCACGCAGTATTGGAGGGCGTGTAGTTGGTGGAATATCTCAACGTCTTGCAGCGCGCTTACTGCAACAAGTTCTTCGTGCACCTGAAACAACTGCTGCTGCATAATTGTTTGTCTTGAACGTTAATATAATGTAACTGTCCATAAACATACTTTAGCCTGTCAAAGGAAGGTCATATGGAATATAAATCACATCAGATGCAACAATCAATAATCCAAGGCAATTGGCTTTTAATTTCCTAAGTTGGGTTATATAAAATTTAAATGTGCTCGAGTTGCAGACCGGCAAGGAAGATGTCTAGCACTCAGACTAACTTATAGAAAAATCTCATACATTTGGGGCTTAAATACATTCACTCTCGGAAGTTTCCCAATTACAAAAGTCTTGGGATTTTTCATTGTTCTTGGATACATTCTTTGGTTGGTTGTCTAATACATTACTTTTTTTTTTACCCTCCCTAAGAGCTCCCACCCTTTTTTGCTCCCTTGGTGACTCGAACTCGCAACCTTTGGGTTGGAAGTGAGGGGTAGCAACTCCCTCTTGTCTGAGAGGTGGGAGAGATATATCTTAGAGGGATAAGTATGTATCTAAAAGGGGATTTTTGTAATTTTTTAAAATGACAGGAAACTTTAGAGATTATGATATTTTAAGTTATGTATTTATGTAATTTTTATCAAATTTTTGTAATTATATAGACGAGACAAATGAAAAGTAAAAAAAAAAGAAGCGAAATAGGTTACTTGCCAAAAATTAATTTTAATCTCTTCTCGAAGCTATGAAAATGCAAAGAGAAAATATGAAGAGTGCTACATTATAAATTCATGTATGAAATATAGATATATAGCTAGAGAACTCTATATAGCTATTGCAAAGAATAAAACCACAATTTAGCAATACAAAAGCTTGTTATCAAAAGATAATTAAGCCTGCGTTTTTTCTAGGACTCCTTTAAAAAATATTGTCAACCAAATTAGAGGAAAAAAATAATTTGATCATTTTTGTATATTTGGGTTTTGAAAATAAAATCCTTTATTGATTAACTTATAAGTTAGCCTAAAATGAGGAAAATAAGCTTCATATCATAAATTAATTAAGTAGTAGGTATGGTTTTAATAACTCGAGTTTAATTTATTCGTAAATCTTTTTTCGGATACATTTTTTTTAAAATTAAAGGGTTTATTTCCATAACAAAATGGGAAGGCATAACCCAAAGATAACTGATTTTGATGAAAAATAAGCAGATGAAGGTGAGATTCATAAAGATATAAAAGGACTCTTTGGAGATCTAAAAGGGATCAAAGCTCAATTTTTGTAGGGAGGAATTGCGGGCGACAGAGTAAGTAGAAGACGGCCATGACTAAAGAAGACTGTATGGAGAAAGACGAAATGGATTCGCTGTTTGAGGGAATGGTTCTCTTCAATCCGAGTGCAGATGTCGGACATCATGCCCAATTATCCACCATAGCTGATGCGGATGCATCCGCTTCTTCCCCATCGCAGGTATCTAATGAACCCCTTGATGAGAACCTTTTCTCGGATCTCACTCTCATGACTCCCTCTCAATCCCTACTGCTTGATGAAGAAGAAGATGAAACTCAACCTCCATCTGATCTGGCGTTGGTATCTCGGCAAAATTCCAGTAGGAGAAGAAAAAAAGCTGGATTAAGGATAGGATATGGCAGAGATAGAGATTATGCTGACCATCTGCCACAATCGTCCCATACCCACCTCAACTCTCACTCTGACATAAGCTCCGTTCTTGCTGCTATTCAAGATAAAGAAGCAAACCAAGAACAAAAATTTGAACAGGAAGCTGAGGAGTCGAGGGATGAAGAAAAGAACATCTCTTCTATCACCACAGCCAAAGAGCAGGATTCCTCAACAGAAAAGCTTAACAATGGCACTGACTCTCTCAACTACCCTAATAAAAAGCTTAATTTGTCCTCGGCTACTCCTATTTCATCTACACTTGATGACGACGAATACATGGATGCTGGTCATCTAAAAGTTAAAGCAAACCCAGTGGAGTTGAAATTCGATCAAATCAGAGCCACCATTGCAGACAAGCTTAAGTTGGCCCAGGAGGCGGTAATCTCCGTCTCTGCACTGCGGAAAGAATCTATCCGAAGGAGAAGAGAAGCTGTCGAAGAATTCAATGGGGCATCTACCCACCATAGGGACTTGGAGAAGAAGCTGGATGAAGCTTGTGAAGCAGAGGATTTTGAGACCGCTGAAAGGGTCAGTGAGAATCTTGCTTCCGCGGAGAAGGAAAAGGAACAGTCGGTCATCCTCCTCAGAGATGCCGAGACATACTGTGATGTCATTGACACTAAGATGCAGGACGTTCTTGTGTCCCTTATTCAAGCTGAGGAGGAATGTGTTTATTTGCTACGAAGATTTTCAGAGGTGAGATATTGAATTGTATGCAGATTATAGATTGCTAAGGATGATGAACCTCTTTTGTTTTCCTCTCCTGGTGGTATAATCCTCTGTCTAAAAATGCTTGTGGAAATTTGTTTTAGCCAACATTTATATGAGCAATTTAGAGTTTTGCAATTAGTAATTCAACTACTCTTTAATCTCAGGCTAGTCCGGGATGGGCTTTTATAATCCTCTTTATCTTGTCTGCTTTATTTGGGTTTACTCCATTCCTTAAATCTCACATTTTATTCCTACACAGCAGTACAAATCTCTTGTAAAATTCTTAGGATCTTTGGCAAACACGAAATCTAATGCAAGTATAACAGCAACAATCAAGCCTCAATCTGAACTAATCAGTACCATCTATATGGATATCTTCTCTTTAAATTTGTTCTTTTCTGAGCTGAATCAATAAGAGTTTGAAGAGATTATAGGCCTTCTTAGACTTCCATTCATATAATTTTGGGGAACTTTCACATATAGCCACTCAAAAATAGCCTAATTACTCTCCATAGCTATAGTTTGATAATTACAATTCGTAGCTAGGGAGGAGAGAGGCGAGCGAGACTGGGAGAGAGAGGAGAGAGGCGAGTGAAAGAGGGCAAAGAGTTGGAGAGAGGTGAATTGTATATGTATATCGGTTAGATGATTGTATATTATACGAATGTATTTGTATATATGGCAAGCGAAATTGGGAGAGGGAGGAGAGAGGTGAGCGAGAGAGGGCAGAGAGTGGGAGAGAGGTGAATTGTATATGTATATTGGTTAAATAATTATATATTATACATATGCATTTGTATATATGGCAGCGAGATTGGGAGAGAGAGGAGAGAGGCGAGCGAGATTTGGAGAGGGAGGAGAGAGGCGACCGAGAGAGGGCAGAGAGTGGGAGAGAGGTGAATTGTATATGTATATTGGTTAGATAATTGTATATTATACATATGTATTTGTATATTCTGGCGAATTATACATATACAAACGTGGTCAGCCCATGTAAGTAATGTATAATGTTAGCCGCAAGTGATAATTATAGCAAACTATAACTATGATTAGTAATTAAGTAGTATAACTTTACATAACCGCGTAATTTTCCCTATAATTTTAGGGTTTTCTCCTTTCTAATCTCACATTTGTGACCGCTATGTCGCATCTATGCATTATGGCTTCTTCTTCTTTTTTCCTTTTAATAAGGAAAAAGGGATGTCCTAACCAACTGAACCAACAATATTTAATGTTATTATTATATATTTGATGGGAATTCCTTTGTATATATTTAGAGTTTCGCTATGGTTCAGGAAAATGGGAGTGAGGGAACTCGTGCCTCCCAGAGGTTGCCAATTTGGTGGAATTGCATGGCATAGGATTTTTCCGAAAGATTGTTTCTTCTTTTTTTTGTGCTGCTTGAATTTGGATATTTAGGTGAATTTACATGTATCTCTGTTTAAACTGCACAAACCGTTGCCTTGGTAGCAAAGTATTTCAGCTTCCCTTTTTGAACAAGTGATATATTTTAGCTTCTTCCATAAAGGGACTCCTTTGATCTAATCCTAGATTCCTTATCTGTGACGTGTTGTAATCCTCTTGATAAATACGGCATGTGCCATAATTAATTCAATCTTATAAAGGCTTCTCCTCCACTCCGTAAAATCTAGATTTCAAAATCTCCTTTCACCCAAAAGGACCTCATCTAAGGTTATTCTGTAAGACTTTATCCCTCAAAACCGGTTGCACACATTTTCTCTATATCACCGAGATAAAAATGATGTTTGCTTGTTGATATTAGAAGTGGCCAATCAAGATGAGATCTAAGTGCCGGTTTGGATTAACTTATTTTTAGTTCTTTTTGACTTTTAAGTAGTTTTTTAGTTTTAGAGATGTTTGGAAAGGTTATAATGTGCTTTTAACCACCCACTTTTAGGCCAAAAAAGTTTAAAATAAGTCAAAAAGTCAAAAGTAAGATACCTTCTACTTATGACTTTTAACTTTTGACTTATAAGTTACTTTTTATAAGCCCATCCAAACATGCCTTTCCATTTAAAGGATCGTGAAGCAGAATATCTTGCACACCAAAGTAAGAGGATGCTTTTGGCTTCTAAGTTCCTTTTCTATTAAAGGAAAATACCAAAAAAATGTTTTTAAGCACTTACTTTTAGGCCAAAAAAGTATAAAAATAAGCTAAAATCGAAAAGTTGGATATTCCCAACTTATTGACTTTCAGCTTTTAGCTTATAAGTTACTTTTAGAAGCCAATCCATCCAAACACCCCCTAAGTTATCATAGTGTTCATTACTTCAGAAGTGGAGCCAAGTGGAGGAAGTTAAGGAGAACTTGAGTATGATGATCCGAGATCATGTAGGACAGAAACGTGTAAACTGTCTATTCTAGCTAAGGTAATGCTACTTACCGGCAGCCAGAATCTGATACAATAAAGACCAATTATATTTCTTCAGATGGACATGGACTTGCTAGTTAACATTCCGGCAGAATATATTTATGTGTTTCTGTCACTTCTCAAGTTGCGCATATATATGCATTGTGTAAAATAGTTATTCCACTTGAATTTTTCAATTACTGTTCTTCTCGAGAAGGAAAACAGAAAACCTTTTCAACTACTGTATATCACATAAGTTTTACTGAATACTGGAACACATATTGCTGTTGGAAGTATTTCTTGTGTGTAAAGTATTTTTTGCTGATTTAGGTCAGGTTATTTGAAAATTTTAACTTGATTTTTTCAGGAAGCTGCAAGTAATGCAGATTCAATTCTGATGGATGCAGAAACAATATCTTCAAAAGATGGTGCTGAGTGGCTTTCATCAGTTGAAGCCATAGAAGTCAGCAAATTTGAATTAGAAATTCAATCCCAACTAGTTCACGGAGCTAAATCTGTTTTGAATGAATCAATTGATCACTCAGTGGAGGATGATCGGAGGGAAATAGATGTTCTTTGCAAGAGAAAAGAAGTATTGGCAGAGGAACTGAGGGAACTGCTTGCCTTTGTGAAAGAGAAGGAAGCAGAAATAGCAGAAAATGATGCTCTCATTCAAAAAGTTGAGCATAGGATTGATGGGGTTGTCTCATGCTTTAAGGAGGTTCAAGAAAGTATATATAATAATTATGATAAATTGCAGTCACACCTTTCTGAGCTGATGGCTGAGAATGATGTTTTACTGAAAAGAAAGAAAGATATTGATAGTTACCTTTCTCAGCAAGAATCAAGAGGAGAAAAGATTAAGAATCTTTCCAGGATTTCTGCAGATGAAGCAAACATGTATGAAGAAGTTGTTGGTCTTAGAAAGAGTCTGGCTGTGTTCATCTCGAAATCCAAGGCCTATAGACTGAACCTTGCCAAAAGTGAAGAAAGGATTTCAGAGGAGGTGCAAATTCTCAAGCAGGATTTTTTTGCTGCAAGAGCTTCACTTCAGGTCAGTTCTGCTTTTAGTATCTCTATTCAGGTTCTCCCAGAAGAGCAATATCTATGTCAAAAAAGATACATGCACTCTTTTGCATTCTCACCTTAAAGTGAAAAGTATGTTGCTCGTGATATACTGGGCTTAAAGTACTTACAACAATAGTTACTCAAGACCGAGCTACTTTTTTTTTTTTGATGAAGTAGTTTCATTGATGACATTAAGAAGATGCAAGTAGAGCACAAAAGAGAACACAAAAAAAGACCTGAGTTAGGTTCATTGCATGGGAGGCTATTGTAAGACCAGGGAGCTGACAAAGTTCATAAAATTGTTGGGGAATTTACAGGCAACAGATTGTGCCAACTAAAAAGACTCATTAAGCACCTAGCCTTATAGAGTGATTATTGTGGATACACCATCAAACATCTTCTGTTCCTTTCTGTCCACAAACACCAAAAGACGCTAGCAGGGATCATTCTCCGGATTTTCCTGATGGCTGTATTCGTTTTCCATGTGCTCCAGTTTCCAAAAGCCTCCTTAATACTCTCAGGCTGGACCTAGCTGAGTCCAAACAAAGAAGAACATGTTCCGCTCTGTAGCCACTCCCCAATGTAGAAATAAATGGCTCTAGGTTTCTATACTTTTTTTATTATTATTTATTTTCTTATGAAGTAATTGTCATTAAGAACAAAGGCATTAAAGAGATGCATAATTACAAAAATAGGCACAGAGTTAGTGCTAGAACAAAAACCCAAAAACAAAAATCTATGCTAGAATCAGGGAGCTAACAAAGGCCAAAAAATTGTCAACATTGTTTATAGGTTAAAGAAAGTGCCAACTGAGCATACTAGCCAGGCATCTGGCCTTAAGAGTGTGGTTTGGAGTTGAGACACCATCAAAGCATCTTCGATTTCTTTCATCCCAGACGCACCAAAAAATTACTGTTGGGATCATCTCCAGATCATTTTGATGGTTTTATCAACTCTCCAAAAAATCCAACTGACACAAGCTTCCTTGATGTTTAGTGACATAACCCAATGTAAACCAAAAATTGAGTAAAAGAAGTTACAAAGGTCAGTTGTGAGGGCAATGCAAAAATAGATGGCTGACATTTTCAGAACTTTGGTGGCACAAATAGAATCTATTTACCTGGGTTATGCCTCTTTTCTTGAGGTTGTCCTGAGTAAGGCAGACACCGTTAAGTGCTATCCAGCCAGGAGAAGCAGGAAACTTTAAGGGGTATCCTAATCTACCGCACATGCTTCCGTGGCCAATCCTCTAGAACACCATTTTGGGAGCGCATATGATCATATCCAACTTTAATTGTGTATTTCCCTACTTAACAGTTTCCCCATCAGATTAGAGGTGAATCTAGGATTTCTAGAACATGGATGCACCACTAAAATATAAGGAAATAATGTATAAGAGGGACTTGATCCTTAGGGGTTGTTTGGTAGGGTGTATAAGAATAATGTTATGTTGTTGATCTCCCTTACATGAATCCAAATTGATTCTCGGTGATTGACACACCCCTCCTCACCCTTGTCTCCACAACCCTCTCCCAAACTTTCATAGTGTTGCTAAGCAACTTGATACCCTTATAATTGTTGCAACTCTCTGAATATCATCCTTGTTTTCATAGAACGGGATCATTGTACTCCAGTTTCATTCTTTGGGCATTTTTGGCGTCCTAAAAATAGCGTAAACAACTCAGTTAGCCACTCCATACTTGTTGTGTCCACGCTCTTCCAAAATTCCACTGGAAACTCGTGGGTAAGTCTTTTTGGTTTGCAAATAATAAATTTTCAGCATTAGTATTAAGAAGAATGGTATGTTGTGCATGGGACTTAATTGGTGACCATCTAGTATTGCATGTGAAATATTTGAGCTTCTTGGGATTTAATTGGTGACCATGAAATCACCAAATATTTCCTTGCATTCATTTAGATGCTACTGTGTGTAGCAACACTGCACAGGACTTGTATTATTTTGGTAATAGTTGAAGGTTGTGAGCATGATTATTGCCTTTCAGTTTAATAAAGGTCATTGTTTTTCATTTATTTTATGGGCAGTGCTTGGATAGTTTTTAGCATTTCTTCATTTTCTATTGCAGTAATATTACTCTGCATCTCCACTTGCAGGTGTTATCTTCAACTAAGTCAAGCATCCAGCAGGAAGTTGAATCCTGTAAGCAGCGTCTTCTTTTCATTGACAGGAGACTTCCGGAGTTGGAGGCAGAGAAGAAGGTTGCTGCTGCTACAAGAAATTTTAAAGAAGCAGCACGATTATCTGCAGAAGCTAAGGCCTTGTGCATTGAAAAGGAAGAAATACAGAGGAAAATGGACAGTACTGAGTCAGAGCTTAAGAAGCTTGAGGAAGAAATATGCCACACGATTGATAGGATGCAAGAAACTGAAGTGCAGATTTCATCGAAGGAAAAAGAGTTGGCTATGGCTAGATTCCGGAGGCTAATTCTAATTGCTAGAGAGGCTATAGCTGAGAGATCAGCTGCCTTGGAGTTGGGTGATCATGAAGAAGCTGAATCTTTAATGGCAGAGGCTGATGCTGCGGAGGTTGAAGCAAGAAAACTTCAACCAATTTACAATTTCAATGAAGAAGCGATTGAAAATTTACCGGAAGTTTTCATATCAGCTGAGCTTGTATCCACGCTTGGTAACAAGCAATTGGCTGAGTTGGCTGCTTCTGCAAATATAGCGGCATCATGAATTATATGCTAACTTAACTAATGAAAGACTTTTGGCTTGGGTTTTACTGGCAGCTTTTCCTGACATGAATAAAGCATTTGTGAGGAACTTGTTGGTGATAATGACTTTTCTGAAAAGCACAAAAGACAAAAATGGCGTGCAACCAGATATGATGTGCAAGGTAATGTCTTTAGTATATAAAGGTCGAAGAAAGTTAAACAGTAAGTTCACTTTGGGTACACTCTCTGTGTGTGTTTTTTGAGGCAACAAATCCGTGCAGATCTATGAAAAGTTGGAATTGGTTTGATCAACATTTTTTCGCTTCTTGATAGTATTGTATAATGCCTTAAGATGAACAACCATCATCGCATTTCATGTTGTTTAAGAGAATGAAAAGTGTGAAATTTAAGGCCAAAAAAACAATTGGATAGCATGCTTTTGTACCAATTCTGTAAAATGATTGTAAACCATCGAAAGGGCATATATTATGGGGGACAAACATAGTGGATGAAGTTTTTATAGCCACGGAAATGTTACAAGTGTTGTAGACATAAAGAGTCTGCAAACAATATTTGGTCAGGTGCAGCATTTTCTTTATTAATCTTACTTATGAGTCATTTTATACTTATTTCAAACGTTTCGCTTCATGAGTCATGGATAGGCAGTTTACTCTTCCTTATACGTTGATACTTGGTTCTCAAAAAGCGAAGGAGAAATGTAAGACAAAAGGTGTGCGTGCTACTTCCTCATCTCATTATTTCTTTGTTGATTAGTGTCTAGAGATAGGGGTGGCAATTTCATCCCATATTAATGAAATGAGTCCATTTTGCTCATATTTAATGACTTGGTTCACTCATATTTTAATGAGTAACTTTCACATATAGCAAACACAAAATTCATATTTGTATGTTATAACAAAGTTTGCATAATTGCGCTCCATAGAAAACATAAATATGTATATTTCGCTATACATATACAAAAGAAATTAGTTGTATAATCTGCTTTGGTATACATATACAAAAAGATCAATTGTATAAAGTGAGAGAGGCGAGTGAGTGAGCGAGATCTGGGAGAAGGGAGAGAGGGGAACGAAAATATATGTATATATACAATTTTCATACATTTTATACATTTGCGTTTTTGTATAAAGTGAGAGAGGCGAGTGAGAGAGCGAGATCTGGGAGAGGGGAGAGAGGGAACGAAAATATATGTATATATATAATTTTCTTTCGCTTTATACAAACACAAACGCATTTTATACAATTTGCGTTTTTTGTATAAAGTGAGAGAGGCGAGTGAGAGAGCGAGATTTGGGAGAGGGGAACGAAAATATATGTATTTATATAATTTTCTCTCACTTTATACAAACACAAACGCACTTTATACACTTGCGTTTGTATAAAAAATGAGAGAGGCGAGGGAGAGAACGAGAGTGGAGAGCGAGATTCACCAGGAGGGGTGAAATAGCAACAGTTTGCTATGGGGTACAATTAAATCAAACTATATTTATAGCATTTAATTTGAATTAATAATTTGCTATTATATACAATTTCCCCTATTTTAATTGGTTAAATATGGGCTTCAAGCTATTTTAAGAGTCTCTACAAATATGGTCAAATACAGGTATCCATATTGACCCATAATAAATCACTTAGTTTTCACTTCCACTCAAAATTCTTAATTGTGCTAAAGAATAAAAAAAAATTAATTTTCAAACTTAATGGAAAAAACATATTTTTTTTGTTTGGTTGGAAGGGAGGGGCGCCTTGGGGGGTGGGGTAAATTTTATTTTATTTTTTGAAAAAACAGATTTATTTTTGTTTTTGGAAAACAAAAATATATAGGGGTCGGTTGGTGGAAGGTGGGGAGAGGGGGAGGGGGTAAAATTATTTTTTGTTTTTGGAAAATAAAAAAAATTAGGGGTTGGTTGGTGGAAGGTGGGGGGTGGAGAGTGTCCGGAGGAGGGGGTAAATTTTTTTTTTCTTGTTTTTGAAAAACAAAAAAATTAGGGATCGGTTGGTGGAAGGTTGGGGGGGGGGAGGTGAGGGGTACCCGGGAGGAGGGGGTAAATTTTATTTTTTTTTGGAAAATAAAAAAATTTAGGGGTCGATTGGTGGAAGGTGGGGGGGGGGGGAGGTAAAAAAAAATTTTAAAAAATAGAACATTTTTTTTTTGTTTTTGGAAAATAAAAAAAAAAATAGAGATAGGTTGGTGGAAGGTGGGGGAGCCCCCGGTGGGTGGGGGTGTCCGGGGAAGGGGGTAATTTTTTTTTTTGAAAAACAGATTTTTTAAAATGGGTTAGAACTATTTTATCCAAATCATATTTGACCAAATTCATATTTATCATATTCTAATTTGGATGGATTGAAATCCAAATCATTTTTGCGCAATCCATATTCAATCCATCCAAATCCGATCCAATCCAACCATTTGCCACCCCTATCTAGAGGTAATAATACATGATGAAAATATATCAATTTTATTAATCATATCATAGTGTTCCGACGAACTCATATTTCAGAAGCAAGCACATTGAATTTGTAGAATATTAAATAGGCTAATTCAGAAGAAAACACAACGCTCTCCTTAAAATTGTACAACATTAAATAGGTTAATTCATGACTCATGGAGTGGACTAACCACCGGAAAGAAATTAATATGTATACAACAAATAATTTTATTTGCTCTAAATATAATCAAGTTTCCATTTACATAAAACATAGCACAATATTAATGTTTCAACAAAATGTATCGATATATTGTATACGTAGTGTATATTCATGCATAGATGAGATATAACTACAATATAATCAAAGATGTATATACATCTATATACATTGTTGATATAATAACATATACAATTATACATTATTGATAGGTCAAACACATGCACAAACTTTTAACTTTCCCTTAAATTTCTTTTTGACACTTTAACTCAACCTTGTTTTATTTTCACCTTCTAACTCCATTTTTCATGTATACAATAAAGCATATATTGCAGATCAATTTTTTTTTCAATCTCAACCAACTCAAATCTCCTCTAACCATTTCAAATTTTTGAATATGAATTCCTCTCAATGTTTCAACTCTTTGATATATTATTCAATCAAAATTATTAACATTTGCAACACGTCGATTTAAAGTCGAGTTTTGAACTTAGAAGAAGGAAAAAGAGGAGGAGGTAAACAACGAAGAAACAAGGAAGAAGAAGTCATCAATGGTAGAAAGAAGAAGACCAAAGAAGGCGAAGAAGAAAGTGTGAATTGCACTTCGCCTGCAATTGAAAATTGTCGAATAGCCATTTTTTATAAAAATTGATAATTGAGTTATTTTGGATAAAAAAATTATGATCAAAGGGTCATTTTGCTTATTATCTCATTATTCATGTCTTGAATTAACCATCTCTCGGAAGGAACATGTCATATCAGTAATATTTCTATAGTGTTGTTCATCTTCATCACTTTCTTTCAAAGACTTTTAGAGTTTAGACCTGATTTTTATACTTCTTCACCCATTCTTTTTGTAAATAAAAATACAATATTGATCAAGCATCAAAATACAAGGACACATATTATAACAACTCAACGATATTTTTATTGAATATTATATTTACTATGTAATTTTTATTTTATTTTTTAAAAAAAAAACAAATTTATACATGAGTGATATTTAAAATGTAAAACAATTTTAATGCTCAAAGTTTAATAAATACCTTAACAACTAATATATATATATTCAAATTCATACATGTAAATTTTAATGGGAAAATTGTATATAATAGCAAACTATTAATTCAAATTAAATGTTATAACCACAGTTTGATTTAATTGTAATCCATAGAAAACTTTTGTCATTCGCCTCTCTCCCTAGGTTTCTCGCTCGCCACTCTCGCTAGTCTCTCCCTCTCTATAACGACTCGAAAAATGATAGGTTAAACTAGAGCCTAAACGTGAGGGTTAATGTCAAGAGTTAAGGGGTTTAGTGGTTAAGCGTTAAAGTACGTACAAGACCCCGTAGTTTAAAAGACCTTCTAAGGGTTGGTTGAGGGTTGCAAGGTCAAGAACCAAGCCAAAAGGGGCAAGCCTAAGCCAAAGACCAAGGCTGCCCCAAGCTTGGCCAAATACTGCCCAAGGACCACGACCAGTGGTCTTGACCACGGTCAGTGAAAGAGCTCGTGAAGGTCCCTTAGGCATGTGTGAGACATGGCATTGAGGCCTAGCCACTGCCTAGGAACCACGACCTCCACCACGACTCGTAGTCTTGACCACAGATCGTGGGAGGCCTCATGGTCTTGCCTTGGCATGGGATCCCAGTCTGTTGTAGTCCGAGGATCTGATGAAAGAGGAGCCTTTTCACTAGAATAGGCTTGTTGAGATACTAGTTCAAGACTTTCTTTAATCTGTAAGAGAACATGAGAAATAAGAAATTCATCATGAATTTGAAAGGAAATTCATTTAACATTAGACTTACCCCAGCAGACTGGGTAATCAATTTTGATGTTGGACTAGATGAGAAAGAATGGAGAAAGTTTGATAGTGGGTTGTGGGTTGAGTCGTGTGGGAGTGAAGAAACGTGTGTGTTGGTGGTGTGATCAATGATCGGGGATGGTAACGGTAAACAAGGAAAGAAAATCGCTAAAATTAGGTAACTGAAAATTTTAGTTTTTTTAAAAAGAAAGTAAAATAAAATTAATGATCTATTATTAATTAATAATAAAAAACTATAAATAGATTAATAATTTATTAAATAAATATAATTTAATTTTAAAATAAAATAAAATTTAACTGATATGTCATAGCCCGTAAATAATATGTTATAAGCAAGAAATTTTTAAAAGTAGGTTTAAAACCCGTAATATTTACTCTTAAATGTGTATATGGGGCGATTTTTCCAAAGAAAAACCAGTTACATATTACATTTAATTAATTACAAAAAACTAATGTCAACAACTTATTACATCTCTTTCTTTAAACTCCATTGTACTTCTGGTATGCTTAATAAATAGGCAATAATTGCGAGGG